GGGCTACCCTGGCTCAAGAGGGTGGATGTTGGAAGACCCTATGTCTAGCAACAGGATTCTGCACCATGCCACACAAGCAGAAGAACCCAGTCAAGGCTGTTAGACAATTTCTGCGACCACATCACCCTTTAGATCTGACCACCTAACTCATCAGACTGCACCCCACCTTGATTATTATGTGCGGGGCCAACAAAACTCCTTGTAACGCCAAATATGAATTGAAAGCAAGGATTATGGCAGCATTCACCAACAAACAAGGAGACCGTCCAGAAGAGAGGCAGGAGACTGCGAAATGGCATGAAGGCCTTGGTTGAAGCTAATGGAGATTTTATTGAATAAATTCACTCTTTCGTATTTCAAGATATCTTTTTGTGTAGTTTTAGTAAATATATCTGTTAAAATGAGATATCAGTGTTATATTCATTTTTGCGTCATTTAGACGGCAATTTATCCATCGCACACTTTACGTATTCGTGTGCGTACACGAATATATGTAGAAATACACGCATATTTGCAACACGTATTTATAGACATAAACGTTACTTTATGAAAATATATTTAGACTGTTGAAGACGTTAATATTAGATTGTTTTTTTTAAATTCAGTTTAAATATATATAGAACATTAAATATGTCGTAAAAATTCAGTTTAAATATATATAGAACATTACATATGTCGTAAAAATTAAGTTTAAATATATATAGAACATTACATATGTCGTAAAAATTCAGTTTAAATATATATAGAACATAAGATATGTCGTAAAAATTCAGTTTAAATATATATAGAACATTACATATGTCGTAAAAATTCAGTTTAAATATATATAGAACATAAGATATGTCGTAAAAATTCAGTTTAAATATATATAGAACATTACATATGTCGTAAAAATTCAGTTTAAATATATATAGAACATAACATATGTCGTAATAATTCAGTTTAAATATATATAGAACATAACATATGTCGTTAAAATTCAGCTTAAATATATAGAACATTACATATGTTGTAAAAAATAGCTCCATATTTTATTAAAAAAAACAAAGAACGGGTTTCGGGTCATTTCGAAGTGGCGTGATAGTCTGTCAGCTTATCTCGCTAGATCAATTCTGACTGAATAGTGAGTTCGATCCTCACTAGTTGCCCAATACATTCGGTTTCGCGTAAGATGAATTAAATGTGCACGTCACACAGGTAAAACAACAAAATATACATTTTATGCTTATTTTCGATTTAATGATATAAAAAAACAAAATTCAACGAAAATTATATTTCAACCATGCTAGATGCTAAAAACATGGTACCCTGCGCGACAATGGCCGAGTGTATTAAAACGTTGGTTTGTGAATTTGGCGACATTGTGGTTGTCAGTTCAATACCTGGGTTAGGCAGTGGGTACTTGCAGTCTAACTCTCTGCCTTCGGCCGGAGAGGAACCCGGACGAGGCTCCGCCGAAGGGCAGAGTCTCGTTCGGGGTAGTTGACTGCCCCTAAACCCATTTACGCGGGTTCAAAGAGGGAATATTTTTGGCCGAGCCTACGTGCTCGGTTATCCCACGTTAAACCCGGCCTTGTGCCACATGTAACCCTTGTAGGGGAGTAGCTAAAGATCACAGTCAAGTGGGAGCAAATAACTGAGCGTATTAAATAAAAAAGAGACGATATATTCCTAAACATGGGCACTAGAACGAGAACAGTATACACCCGTAGATTAAAATAAACGGTTCAGTTCTGAATTCCCTGTAGGTTACCCCAAACGATATACATCTAAGGGAGGCTGAAACGCTGCGATAATAACAACAAACATTAGGATAATAGCCCGAAAATAAATTTTGTAAATAAAAGAAAAACGACATACCTTAGGTTCGTAAATTTAACTTTTTTTTTTATCAGTATGATACTATTAGAACGATTCCATGGACAATGGAATTGTGCATTCGTTGCTTCAGGTTATTACCATTTTTCGAGAATATGCTTGCAGACATATTTATACATCATATTCTGCCCCCATCACACACACACACACTCACACACGCACACACACACACACACACACACACACACACACACACACACACACACACACACACATATATATATATGCTTGCAGACATAACATTGGCTTGTTCCTACAGCTTTATTTACAAGAAATAACGAACCATGATGAATCCTAGTAAATATTAACCTCTGGAATCTCAAACATGCCAATTATTTATTTACACTCAAATCATGAATGAATGATGTCCTAATTGTTGGCAAAATGTTTAAATAATCAGTTAAGGGTATCTGCTGATCCCCAACGAAATCTAAATTGATAATCCTGCCTTTTAAGAATTAAATAATTAATATTAGGTTTTTGCATGTGAGTATCTAAATATAATTTCCAGATTATTATTATTATTATTATTATTATTATTATTATTATTATTTTTGATTTCTGGCGTTTACACTTTTCTCTCCGGTTCCCGATTAGAGACCTAAGGTTAGAAATGGCAGCACGACACTTTCCACTGACAAAAAAGAAAAAAAAAAAGAAAAAAAAAAGTTACATAGATAAAGCCCTTCGTAAAGTGTGGTCTGTACTTGTCAGAACAATTTTTTGTATCTCCTTGAGGTATGGACTTCCAGGAATCCCTTCAATTAGTCTACTGCAATCTTTTCCAACCAGTCCTAGGGCTCCAACTACAACAGGGATTGTTGATGTTCCCATATGCCACATTTTCGAGATTTCTATTTCAAGGTCCTTGTATTTTGACAGCTTTTTGAATATCTTCAAAGATACATTGCAGTCAGCAATAAGGAGTCACCGTTTTTGTTTGTGGTCTTTAATAACAATTATTATTATTATTATTATTATTATTATTATTATTATTATTATTACAATACTCAGTATCAATGTATCGAGGACAAAATAGCCTGACGAAGTACATCTCTCTTTTGAATTTTTCCTTCTATTAGACTGCTTACCACATCACAGCAAGAGAGCCCAGAGAACAAGACTCTTTAATCCTTAGCTGAGGGAGTAGATGGAAAAGAAATGTGTTTTGACATTTCTCAAGAGTTGTTTTCCTAACACTACTTGCATATCCTATCCTGTTTATATGCAGCACGAGGAAATTCAATCTGTCCTGTGAGGTCTGTTAAGCTTTTCAGCACCTCCAATCGCGTGGGAGACGCACGCCAGTCGGACAGTGATATTCGTATGGAACCCATATAACCAGGCCAGAAGACAGAACTAGACCCGGATCACACCATAAAATTTTAAATAAGTTCAGGGAAAATATTAACATTATTTTATTATGAAGTTTAACCAATATATTATATATATATCTGTTAATAAATTCAATTTAAAATTGGGAAGATAAAATTTGTAAATTTTATTTTATTTCTTTTATATATATATATATATATATATATATATATATATATATATATATATATATAGTTAGTTAGTTAATAAAACACGGATAAACGAAAGGGTCCCAATATAATCAGCACGATAAACATTTACTAAATATTAACTATTAACCATATGAAATGAAGAACGGGGAGAAAGATTTTAAGTTCGGAATTTTCGGACACGCCTATGATCTTCATATTCAAACCGTTGATGAAGGACACAGTAAAGTCCGAAAATACTGAACTTTTCACCCCACGGTTCATTTTTGTCATATGGTTAATAATTAATATTTGATAAATGTTTATCGTACTGATTATATTGCTAACCTATCATTTGTCCTTGTTTTATTAACTATCTATTTTCCATAGTATAAGAAGCACACGTGGACCTTTGTTTTTTAATCATTTTTATAAACATTTCGTTCCTCCCCGGTAGAATAATTCTGAATTTCATGCACGCATCAAAAATTTAAAGTTGTAAAAATTAAACATTAATGTTCATATCAAAATATTATTATTTATTCGGAAAAAATTATATATATATATATATATATATATATATATATTTGGTTGGATAGATGTGAGTTTGTGACCCTGGGTTTCACGCTTTAGCGATCGTCAGACAAACTGATATATATATATAATTGCCAAAAATGGTTCATATATGTATATATATATATATATATATATATATATAT